TCCAGTTCTGGGTGCCACATTTCAGGAAAGATGTGGACAAATTGGAGACAGTCTAGAGAAGAGCAACAAATATGATTAAAGGTCAGGAAAACATGACCTATGAGGGAAAAAATTGTGTTTGTTTAGTCTGGAAAAGAGAGAACTGAGAGGGGACATGATAACAGTTTTCAAGTACGTAAAAGATTGTTACAAGGAGGAAGGAGAAAAATTGTTCTTCTTAATCTCTGAGGATAGGACAAGAAGCAATGGGTTTAAATTGCAGCCAGGGAGATTTAAATTGGACATTAGGAAAAACTTCCTGTCAGCGTGGTTAAGCACTGGAATAAATTGCATAGGGAGGTTGTAGAATCTCTATCCCTGGACATTTTAAAAGCAGGTTACACAAACACCTATCAGGGATGGTCTAGATACTACTTAGTCCTGCCATGAGTGCAGGGGACTGGACTAGATGACCTCTTGAGGTCCCTTCCAGTCCTAGGATTCTATTCTATGGTAACAAAAAAGTTCAGGATGGCAAGGGACAGCCCAGAGGAAGAGAAAAAAGGGTACCGTAACCTACCAGACTGGAGCTAGAATCCAAACTTTGCATAAAACAGGGCAGCCAGAAGACATTTTTCATCTCTAACATGAAAGTTACATCTCTGTCTTCTACTTTATTAACACACTTGATATCTTCATGTAAGCCAAAGTGGGAATTTGCGGTGGTACATACAAAGACCTAAAAAGTCACTTTGGAAGATCATAACAAATGGTGTCCTCCACCCCTCGAGGTACATGAATCCTTCTAGATTAGATACCCCTTGAAGCTAAGTGACTATAACCATGCCCAGGATTCCAAGAGTAATTTCTCTACAGCTTGTATAGTAGAATTATTCGCTCCTTGCTTTATAATCTATTCCCCACCGTACACACCCTACACCTTATTTGCCTTCCTCGTGGCTCTCAGACACTGTCCAAGCCTTACTACATTCAATTACTAGCACTAATGCATTTGGAGGATGCGTGGTTTGTAGAAAAGACTGCTGTACAAAATAAAACCGCACCATACCAAATCTAGCAAAGGAGAGACTGAGGATGGGTCTCAGGAAAGGGCTTTTCACCGTAAGTGTGATTAGTAAATTAAATAATGGGCTTCTGCAGTGCAGTGGAAATTTAAATCCAGATTGGATAAGTCTTTTAAGGAAAATAACCAGACTATACTCTGAGAAGCTGGAGTTCTGAAGGAAAGCTGGAGCAGACTAGTTGGCACTCTGACCCCAGAATACACTGCCTGTGTGTGAAATACTTGTAAATCTTTACCAATGATTTTCTCAGACGCTCATATTCTGGACGATACTCCCTGAAAAGAGAAACATTTTGAACATTTACTTATAAACAACATCTGTCCATTACCTAAGCCTCTGAGCATATTTCCATTAATCCAACAATTAAGACAACATTTAACATTACAGCTGCAACTAGAACAGACCCTGAATTTTCAATTACCCATAATAAACCAGACATTGAGTGAACAAATGGTGCCTTATTCAAGGGAGATTTTTTTTCAAAAAACATATAGGAATGTTGACCAATACATAGGCTGTCCCTCTTAAGGCAGAAGATGAGAAGCTAAGGACAAATACAAAAACTGCAGCTGTTGCTCACACAAGCAAGCTGGCAGAGACTCAGCCCAGAGATGACTGAGATAAGGCTGCTATGATGAGGGAAACTGCCTGAATTGGTGAGGATGACATTGTACAGTGTTGGTGTAGCCATGTCGGTCCCAGGATATTAGACAGACAAGATGGGTGAGGTAATATCTTTTATTGGACCAACTTCTGTTGGTGAGAGAGACAAGCTTTTGAGCTAAACAGAGCTCTTCCTCAGGGTCAAGGAAAGGTACTCAGTGTCACAGCTAAATACAAGGTCAAACAGATAGTACATATTCTAAGGGCAGGTCTACACTACTGCTTAAGTTGATATAACTTACGTCGCTCAGGAGTGTGTGAAAAAGCCGCCAGTTATAGTGACCTAAGCGAGGTCCACAACGGCACTATGTCATCAGGAGATACTCTCCCGCCAACATAGCTTCCGCCTCTCGCGGAGGTGGAGTAATTATGCTGGAGGGAGAGTGCTCTCCCTTCGGCATAGAGCAGTGGTTACCAACTGGTCGATCATGATCGACTGGTCGATCCTAGAGAATCTCCCAGTTGATCGCGATCTTTGGCGGTGTAGCGGAGCTGCTGCTAAGTCAGGCTCCCTGCCTGCCCCGGCCCCGCGCTGCTCCCGGAAGCGGCCAGTGCAGCCCCGCGGGTGGGGGTCTCCCTCCACACACAGCTCCCACCTGCAAGCACCGCCCCTGAAGCTCCCATTGGCCGGGAACAGGGAGCTGTGGCCAATGGGAGCTGCGGGGGCGGTGCTTGCAGAGAGGGGCAGCATGCAGAGCCACATGCCCCCTGTGCCCCACAGGGACCGCAGGGGCACGTTGGCCTCTTCCGGGAGCAGCGTGGGGCCAGGGTAGGCAGGAGCTTGCCTTAGTGTCGCTGCACTGCCGACCAGGAGTCGCCTTAGGTAAGTGCCACCCTGTGGGATGCCGTACCCCAACCCCCAGCCCTGAGTCCCCTCCCAGAGCCAGCACCCCATACCCCCTCCTGAACCCCCTCCTGCACCCCAACCCCCTTCCCCAGGCTCAGCCCAGAGCCCCCTCTCACACTGCGAAACCCTTGGCCCCAGCCCAGAGCCCGCACCCCCTCCCAAGCCCAAACTCCCTACCCCGCCCGGTGAAAGGGAGTGAGGGTGAGCGAGAGCGAGCGACCAAGAGAGTGGCAGATACAGTGAGTGGGGCAGGGCTTTGGGGAAGGGGCAGGGCAGATCCTGGGTTGCCTTTAAATTCAAAAAGTAATTTTGGGTGTAAAAAGGTTGGAGACCACTGGCATAGAATACCTTCACCAGACATGCTACAGCAGTGCAGCTGCACTGATGTAGCACTTCTAGTGTAGACTAGCCCTACCATTCAAGGTGAAGTGGCCTGTTAACACCACCGTGGTCATAGGACAAAAAAGGGGGTTAGTGGGTTACAGATGGTTGTAATAAGCCATAAATCCAATGTCTTTATTAAGACCATGATTTTTAGTGTCTAGCAAACTCATGAATTTAAGCTCCCAGACTCATCTTTTGAAACCGATAGGTCTGATATGGAGTGACTGCTTTGTGAAAAGTGTTCACCCACAGGTGATAGGGTATTTTTCGTCTTATGATTTTCCTGTCAGAGTTCATTTAAGACAGTGGCTCTCAAACTTTTGCACTGGTGACCCCTTTCACACAGCAAGCCTCTGAGTGCGACCCCCTTTATAAATCAAAAACACTTTTTTGTATATTAAACACCGTTATAAATGCTGGAGGCAAAGCGGGGTTTGAGATGCAGGCTGACAACTCGTGACCCCCCCATGTAATAACCTCACGACCCCCAGAGGGGTCCCGACCCCCAGTTTGAGAACCCCTGATTTAAGAGCGTAGTGATTGTCTGGTTTCACCCACATAGCTATTATTGGGACATTTAAAATGTACTGGATGAGATGTACCACATGTTGTGATAGAGATGCGTAGGACCCTTGATCTTGAAAGGTGTATTGGGGGGTGGGGTGTCCTATCGAGTATGGGTTGTAATTGTTTCATAATACTCCACGTGGGTTCCACTGTGGGGTGGTAGGTGACAACTAGGGTTAGGAGTAGGGACAAGTGTCTCACAGGTTTGCAATTTGGGGGCCTGATTAGAAGGGCTAATTCCTGGCAGCACTCACTAGCCTAGAGTACTTTTTGCATCTGTACTCAGTAAAAAGAGAAAGAGAGAGATTTACCTCTCACAGATGCAGGACTTGTAACAGATTTACAAGACTTTGTCACCTCACGATTACACTACTCTGGCACACTTTACGTGGCGCTACACCGTGGGACTATTTGGAAGCTAAAGCTATTGCAGAATGCTACTTATTAATTAGGGTTTCACACAGGCAGCACATCTCACCAGCACTCCATGATCTACAGTCTACTCACAGGTATCAAGTTGGAGTTCCAAGTGTTGAGTTTGACTGTATAAGGCAACCAAACAATCTGGCAGTATTCCATGAGGGGAGAAGCACAACTGCAATCAGCAGAGATGCCTGACCTGGAGCTTCACCAGTTTAAACAGGAGAGGGCTTGCTGGCAGGATGTTTTCTGTGAAGGTTCCTTGAATTTGCTCACCACTGAGTCTGCCAGATTCCTGTTGTGTTTGCTTTCTGGGCACAATGCAAACCTAGCCTATCCTGAAGCATCGAAGGAGGAGGTGGGTTGAAGGGGTTATCTGTACTGGTGTTTTCTGGATTTTCTATTGAGCAGTTACCAATTTTTAAATTCATGTCTGGACAGTTTGTGTGTTTGAATGTCTTATTTGTGTACTCTAGCATACACAGGACAGGTGTTTTATAACAAATACTCTAGGTCAGTGGTCCCCAAACTTTTTTGGTTGTCGCCCCCTCCCTCCTCCCCTCCCCACCCCGGAGCCATGGTTGGGAGCCAGGACTGGGGCCAGAGTCATAGTCCAGAGCGGAGCAGCGGCTGGGCTGAATAGCACTCCCTCACCATCCCCTGTGGGGGCCTCCTAAACATTCCTCCACATCCCTCTAGGGGGGGCACACCCCACAGTTCAGCGACCACTTCTCTAGGCCAACTGAGCTGCAAAAGACCATCACGCATTCAAGCAAAGGAACAAGCCCATGAATTGGTAGCTGAGCAGCATTCTTTAGATCAAGGACACTTTTCCTCACACTGAAAATCACCACCTCACCTCTCATATTCATCTACAGCTTCAGAGACTTTCACAAAAAATTCATCCAGTCCTGTACCCAGCACAGCAGAAACACCAACCACCTGCAAAAGAAATGTATGTTCCAGAAACTAAATGAGACACCGTTCATACAAAGGATTATAAATAAGCTTTATGGGAGATGAATTCTGGAGTTACCAATCAAAGACAATGACTGGGGAAATGACCCATGGGGACTGCTATCAATTTAAAATTTAATTATAACTACAATCCTTCAAATGACCCAGAACCATCAAGTTGTGTATACAGCCTACGTTCCTGTCATTGCTACATTCATCATCTCTTCCTCACTCACTCAGTTTGTTATACCCACTTATTTTGTCTTGTCTTTACACTAAGTTCTTTGGGGCAAAGACTGGGTCCGTCCTATACATGTGTATAGTGCCTAGCACAACAGGGCTCCAGGGCCCCAGTCCTCATTGGGCTTTTAAGCACTGCCACAGCATAAATAACAAAGACAATGTGACACTGAGAATATAGTATCTTTATATCATAATGTTCAGCTGAATCATAGTAAAAATATGGGCAACACAATCCAATGCATGAAAATAATGAATTCCTTGTATATAGTAGAGAAGATGGGTAAGCGTAGGGGGGAAAAAAATCAAGTCTGTTTTCTAATTAAAGAAAAGATGGGTTATCATGGGGCATAGAGCAAATCTCTCATTCTGGGACAGAAACTAAAAACTCATCTTTTAAACATATATGTTATGGGCTCCTAGAGTGATACTGAGGCAAATGCAGATTCCTAAGGCCAGAAGGGAACCTTGTATTTATACAGGTAAGACTAGAACTATTGGTGTCTCTTATTCTTCTTCTTTCTGTTTTCCCAGCTAGCTGGGGTTGAGTCGCTGGATCAGTCTGTGACAGGATTGCCAATCCAATGCTCAATCCATACCCACTTTGTGAGCCCGTACACAGTCCATCCACAATTTTCTCGGGTATCCTCTTATTCTCTGCCTATGAACTCTAGTTTCAAACATCTCCCTAACAGGATTCTCTTCATTCATCCTTCGTACATGCCCAAACATCTCAGCCTTCACTCTTCCTGCTTCTCTCCAATAACACAGTTCTTGGTCTCACTCCTGAGAACGTCATTCCACATGAGGTCCAGCAATGTCACTCCCTCAATGCCTTCAAACATCTCACTTCAATAGCTTCAAGTCTTCTCAAGTACCTCTCTTTGGTCACCCACATCTCTGATCTGTACAGAAGAGCTGGTTTTACCATGGTTTGTGTAGTTGTCCCTTAAGTTGCAAGGACATCCATTTATCATAAAACAGGACACTACCGCTGCACCAGACTTCTCCTACACTCACTCAACAGCCATGGTTGTGGTTCTCTGTTGATTTTGCCATTTGCCGTTAATCAGCCCAAAAGATACTTACACGCAGAAGCCTGATTTAGGTGCTGGCTCTCAACGTTGGTATTCGTCTGTCTTGGTTCCACCCAAGCCACCCACACGATTTTAGTCTTTGCTTTACTCATTCTGAGGTTACAATTTGTTAGTTCCCTGTTCCAGGCATCAGTTGCTTGGACCAAATCTTCCTTAGCATTAGGCATTAGAGCAATATTGTCTACACAGATCAACTTAGTACAATATTTCATTTTTTATTTTCTTATTGATGAAATTCATCACAATTATGAATAGTGAGGGACTAAGCATTGATCCCTGGTGGAGCCCACCTTGCACCTCAGTACCCTCTGTTACACCAAAGGGCATCCACACTTTAGTCATGGAACTGTCTATTGGTCTCTCCTGGCCTCAAAATCTATGCAGAAAGCTACCATTCAGAGTTTAGGTCTTGTATTATAAAGCAGCTCAGTACAATTAACTATTTAGCACGATAAGTATGCATAGCACTATTTTAATGATTTATATGATGCCATGATTTGCCAGATGCTTAACACAATTAAAATTGACAAGGAGGAAGGAACACAAGCCAGAATAGGGAATAAAGAATATTTAGATAAATCAGATTGAAATTCACCCTAAGGTACTTAAGAAACTAGCTGAAGCAATCATGGACCCTTTGCCGATTACATTCAGGAACTCATGGAGGACAGGTGCTGCCCCGCAGGGCTGGAGAAGGGCAAACATAGTATCCATCTTTAAAAAGGGGAACAAAGAGAACCCAGGGAATTATTGACCAGTCAGCCTAACCTCAACATCTGGAAAATACTGGAACAAATGATTAAACAATCAATTTTTAAGCACCTAGAGGATAATAGGGTAATAAAATACCCAGCATGGGTAGTCAAGAGCAAATCATGCCAAGCCAACTTATTTTCCTTCTTTGACAAGGTTACTGGCCTAGTAGAAAGAGGGGAAGCATTAGATGTGATATATCTTGCTTTTAGTAGGCTTTTGACATAGTCCCTATAGTAAGATGAGGCCCTGAGACATAAACCCTTGGTATCAGAGGCCCGGTATGAGACCTGAGGCCTGAACTGAAGTAATGGTCAAGACTTTGCTAACATAAAGTAAAGTTAAGCTGTGAGCCAGAGGCAGGCCCTGCTCACAGAAGTTGGCAAGAAGAAGGTTGCTAAAAGCACGTAGACACATATAAGCACTAATAAGATGAACGTGTGCCAGGATGGCACCAGAACATCCCGGTATGAACACATTCCACAGAGATAACAAGGAATAAGCAGACCCATCCTAAAGACAGGGTCAGAAGGACAATATGATGGATAGACTTGTTTGTTCGAACCAACCTGTACCTGGGGAGAGGCAGCACGCTAATGCGTAGAGGGGTTGTACCTCAATACGTCAGGAGTGATGTGTAACCTGTTTGTACCTGTGTATAAGAAGGCATCCCTGAGTGGAAGTCTTGGTCTGGCCTAGGGGGCAGTGGCAAATCCCGCCACTGACTGAGTCGGTCCATTGTCAGGTAGCACATACATACTAGCAGAACTGTAGACATCTGATCTGGGGAGGTAGAGACTGTGTTTCATTTGGCAATATACCTGACTGGGTGCCTTCGTACCTTATTAGAGTCTGTGGTCATTGGGTTTTTTTTCGGGGTCTGCTGTGTCAGCTATCTGCACAGAGCCGGGGCAGCACACAGAGGGAACACACGCACGCAGACAACTGTTATAATTGAACAGAGCAGAGCACCACACCAGTGACATCTGATAACATTCCCACTTGACATTATGATATACAAACTAGGGAAATGTAGTCTAGAGATGAAATTACTATAAAGTGGCTTTACTGTCAAAGAGTGGGCATATTTAGTGGGGTCCTGCAGGGGTCAGTCCTGGGTCTAGGTACTATTCATATTTTCATTAATAATTTGCATAATGGAGTGGAGAGCATACTTATAAAATTTGTGGATGACACCAAGCTGGGAGGGGTTGCAAGCACTTTGGAGGACAGGATTAAACATAAGAACAGCCATACTGGGTCAGACCAAAGGTCCATCTAGCCCAGTATCCTGTCTTCCGACAGTGGCCAATGCCAGTTGCCCCAGAGGGAATGAACAGAACAGGTCATCATCAAGTGATCCATCCCCGTCACCCATTCCCAGCTTCTGGCAAACAGAGGCTAGGGACACCATCCCTGCCCATCCTGGCTAATAGCTATTGATGGACCTATCCTCCATGAATTTATCTAGTTCTTTTTTGAACCCTGTTATAGTCTTGGCCTACACACCATCCCCTGACAAAGAGTTCCACCGAATGAATCATAGAATATCAGGGTTGGAAGGGACCTCAGGAGGTCATCTACTCCAACCTCCTGCTCAAAGCAGGACCAATTCCCAACTAAATCATCCCAGCCAGGGCTTTGTCAAGCCTGACCTTAAAAACCTCTAAGTTGACTGTGTTGTGTGACGAAATACTTCCTTTTGTTTGTTTTAAACCTGCTGCCTATTAATTTCATTTGGTGACTCCTAGTTCTTGAGAGTAAATAACACTTCCTTATTTACTTTCTCCACACCAATCATGATTTTATAGACCTCTATCATATCCCCCCATAGTCGTCTCTTTTCCAAGCTGAAAAGTCACAATCTTATTAATCTCTCCGCATACTGAAGCTGTTCCATACCCCTAATCATTTTGGTTGCCATTCTCTGTACCTTTTCCAAGTCCAATATCTTTTTTGAAATGGGTTGGCCACATCTGCAGATCATTTATGAATGTGTTGAATAGGACTGGTCCCAGTACAGACCCCTGGAGACACCACTATTTACCTCTCTCCCTGACCATTTATTCCTACCCTTTGTTTCCTAATACGTAAGAATGGCCGTATGGGTCAGATCAAATGGTCCACCGAGCCCAGTATCTTGTCTTCTGGCGGCAACCAATGCCAGATGCTTCAAAAGGGAAAGAACAGAATAGGGTAATCAAGTGATCCATCCCATGTCTGGCATTCAGAGGCTTAGGTACACCCAAGGCATGGGATTGCATCGCTGACCATCTTGGCTAATAGCCATTGATGGACCTATCCTCCATGAATTTATCTAATTCTTGTTTTAATCCAGTTATATTTTTGGCCTTCACAACATCCCCTGGCAATGAGTTCCAGAGGTTGACTGTGCATTGTGTGAAGTAGTACCTCCTTTTGTTTGTTTTAAACCTGCCGCCAATTAATTTCATTGAGAGAGCCCTGGTTGTTGAGTTATGTGATGGGTAAACCACACTTCCCTGTTCACTTTGTCCACACCATTCATGGTTTTATAGACCTCTATCACATCCCTCCCCAGGTAGTCTCTTTTCCAAGCTAAATAGTACCAATCTTTTTAATCTCTCCTCATAGGGAAGATGTTCCATATCCTTAATCATTTTTGTTGATCTTTCTGTTCTTTTTCCAAAATATCTTTTTTGAGATGGGGTGACCAGAACTTCACACAGTATTCAAGGTGTGGGAGTACCATTATGATGGCGAGTGTGTCTGATTTCCTTTCCTAATGGTTCTTAACACTTGGTTAGCTTTTTTGACTGCCACAGCACATTGAGCAGATGTTTTCAGAGAACTACTTACTATGGCTCTCAGATCTCTTTTCTGAGTGCTAAAAGCTAATTTAGACCCCATCATTTTGTACGTACAGTTGGGATTATGGCTTTTTATTTATATATATATATACACATACACACACACACACACACACACACACACACACATACACACACATAAAATTTCATTTGCCATTTTGTTGCCCAGACAACCAGTTTTGTGAAATCCCTTATAACTCTTCACAGTCTGCGTTGGACTTAACTATCTCGAGTAATTTTGTATCATCTGCAAACTTTGCCACTTCACTGTTTACCCCTTTTTCCAGATCATTTGTGAACATGTTGATCAGCACAGGTCCCAGTACAGATCGCTGGGGGACACTTACTTACCTCTCTCCATCCTGAAAACTGTCCCAGATTGAGGTGTCAATAGAGGAGGTTTTGGAACAAATTGATAAATTAAACAGTAATAAATCACCAGGACCAGATGGCATTCACCCAACGGTTCTGAAGGAACTCTAATATGAAACTGAAGAACTATCATCTGTGGTATATAACCTCTCACTTAAATCAGCTTCTGTACTAGATGACTGGCAGATAGCTAATGTGATGACAATTAGAATTCAAAGTGATCTTGACAAATTAGAGAATTGGTCTGAATTCAACAAGATTAAATTCAGTAAAGATGAGTGCAAAGTACTACACTTAAAAAGGAAAAAATCAAATGCATAACTACAAACTAGAGAATAACTGCAAGGTGGTAGTACTGCTGAAAAAGATCTGGGAGTTATAGTGGATGGCAAACTGAATATGAGCCAACAAAGACTAATATTCTGGGATGTATTAACAGAGATGTCATATGTGAGAAATGGAAGGCAACTGTTCCGCTCTATGTGGTACTGGTGAGCCCTCAGCAGGAGTACTGTGTCCAGTTCTGGGTGCCACACTACAAAAATGTGGACAAATTAGAGGGAGTGCAGAGGAGAACAAGAAAAATTATAAAAGGTTCAGAAAGCCTGACCTATGAGGAAGAGTTAAAAAACTGGGCCTGTTTAGTCAGTAGAAAAGACAACTGAAGAGGGACCTGATGATAGTCTTTAAATGCATTAAGGGCTGTTACAAAGAAGATGATTATCAACTGATCTCCATGTCCACTGAAGGTAGGACAAGAATTATTTTAATCTGGAACAAGGGAGATGTAGGTTAGATATTAAGAAAAACTTTCTAACTATAAGGTTAGTTAAGTTGTGGAATAGGTTACTAAGGGAGGTTGTGGAATTTTCATTACTGGAGATTTTTTATGAACAAGTTGGATAAACATCTGTCAGGGACAATCTAGGTTTAATTGATCCTGACTCAGCACAGGGAAGTAGGGTGGACTAGATAACCTCTTGGGATCCCTTTCAGTCCTACATTTCTATGATTCAAGGGGCTTTAAAAACAAATAAGACATAGTCCCTGCTCTGACCTAAACAGACTTTTTTTTAAATCTAAGGCTTATTATAATTTGGGGTGCTGCATAGAGTGAAGAAGTGAATCGGAAAGGGGGATGGTGTGAATGAAAGGGCAAGCAGAAGGAATGATAAGACAACTGAGCAGGAGCACGAGGTTATAGATAGGACAGACAACAAGGTCCCTGTCCTGAGGAGCTTACAGATAACTCAGTGGAAAACAAAGCATCCCAGGGCTTTCTAGAAAGGGAGGATAGGCCACGGGCTAGCCTGGAACTTGGGAAACTGGGGTTCAATTCTGTAGTCTGCTACAGACTTACTGTGAGACCTTAGGCAAGTCACTTAGCCTCTGTGCCCCATTTCCCTGGATGGAACTACAAGACATGGCCTGTCATGACCCTGATCACTTTGTTTATATGTTGTGCCATCTCATCTAGTTTTGGTCTTGAGATTACAAGGCTTTTGGAGCAGGGGCAGTGTCTTCCTCGGTCTGTGCAGCACAATGCAGCCCAGACCTTGGGCCTTTTGATGCTACCATAATACAAATAATAAACATCCAGGGTACGCAGTAATTTTTATAAAGTATAGGAACATTTGCAATATAATCGAGGCCTAAAGTATGTGGTAAAACCTACCCGATTTCTGTGGTTCTCTAGTGATACAGACCAGAAAATCTGAGATACTTATTTATTTACATACAAAACAGCAGAATTTTATTGAATTAGGTATGAAAACAAATCATGCAATTAGTAGAGTATATTTGTAAGTCATGCTCTGGCCAGAGGATCCATGTATGAAAAGGATGGTCCAGTGGTTAGGACACTGGTTTCAGACATAGGAAAACTGGGTTCAATTCCCTTCTCCGCCATAGACTTCCTGTATGACCTTGGGAAAGTTACTTAGCCTCTCTTTGCTTCAGTTCTCCACCTGTAAAATGGGGATAGTACCCTTCCCTAAATGACAGGTGTTGTGACGACAACTTCATTAAAGATTGGGAAGCACTTTGGGATATACTGATGAAGAGTGCTATATAAGAAATAGCATTATTGATTCAGTAGCTGGTGTTATTTATTTTGATATTGAATTCAGCCTTGTTGTCCACACATTTTCAGATGTTAACATGTGTAGATTTGTGTACTGACAACGCCTAACTGCATCACAGAACTGTCAGGGAGGAAAGCAGAAGGGTTTTTACAGCTACATAGTGGGAGCAGGCTGTTGGTACTTTTAGCAGCTAGGGAGACAGAGGAAGCCATTTGGAATTGTGGCATAAACTCATTAGCCGGATGTTTCTACTAAAATTATCAGTGAAATACTTGAGTTGACATTTTAAATTATCATCATGTCTCAAAGTCAACATTGGGTTACGATGAATAGGGCAGTTCACATAGAGCTAATGTTTCAGGAAGAAGATACAGCAACAGCTTATACTCTGTCCACTTAAATCATTATCATCTGTAGCATTACCATCATGCCTAGGAGCCAGGACCTGATTGTGCTGGATGCTATACAGATACAGAACAAAAAGACAGTACCTGACCCACCGAGATTACAATCAAGTATCAGGCAAGAGACTACAGATGGATATGGGCAGATGGAGGGGTACAAGTGAACAAGGAGACAGTATGGTTCTGCATTATAGGCAATAGCCTTTGCACACCAACAGCCTAACTATTGTCAAGTTTTTTGTAGGCACTGTGGCAAAGGACAGTTTTGAAGAGGGAGTGGAAGGTGGATAATGAGGTACCTTTGTGGATGTTTACAGGAAACACCTGCCAAGCATGTGGGGCAGCATGGGTGAAAGCACAAAGGTAAAAAAAATTAAAATTTTAACACTGTTTTTTAAAATTGAAAGCTAATGGGGAGCACAATTCTGCAGCCAGGGGACAGTACGGGAGGGACACCATGCAAACCCCAATGAAATAGCTATGGGATCACTGGCACTCCCTAATATATAGGCTTTTCAATGGCACTCATTACTGGATTATTTAAGTACTTTATAGTAATGGATTTAGCCTCCCAATCCCACTGGGGTAGGAAAAGACATCTTCCCATTTACCATATGGGCTAGATCTTTGTTTCTAAGGTCATGACCGAAACAACCTCCTTCAGTAAGTGGTACAGAACTGAATCGGACTCCTTTAAAAAGAATGAAGGTCTTAGCTGACCCTGCTAGAGTACAAGGCATTTCAAATGAGAGACTCTGAAATGACACCATCCACTCCAACAATTACACTGCTTTCTTAGGAACACGACTACTTCATTCTTTGCTTTCTCTGGTGATTTATTTGCAATTTAATTTTAAATTACTCCCTCTGCCACTCTGAGGCAGGATAAAGTAATTCAAAGCATTTGCCCCTTATTCTCTGAAGAATGACGCAGAGAAATCAGTCCCCTCTATGTCCCAGGGTGCAGGACTCAGCAAGGAATCGAGGCTGAGAGCAGTGAAGAGAGATCCCTGTGTAGGGGGTAGTGAACAGGGGGGAGGCTTACCTTGAGTGAGCTGTAAAACTCATCCAACACCAGGCTCATGGAACGAGTCAGGTTACTAACATATGTTGTCTCTTGATTCAAGGCATCTTGAAAGATCTCAAAATCCTGCATCCATTCTACTGCAAAACTGTGATCAATGATATCTGTCTGGAATGTATAAGGAAATGAGAAGTCAGTTTTCAGAGATGATGGTGGTTGGTTGGTTCTGTATTCGCATGGGCACTCCACAGTACCTGAGAGTTAAGGCTAGTAAACCGTTTTCATTCTAATTCCATTATCAAATGCTCATAACTTTCCAAAACATTCACTCCCTGGCCTAAAATATTCCATGCTTTGTTTTGCCAGTTCAGCTGTTTCAATTTGAAAAAGGTACAAACCCCAACACTATTTCAATTTTAAAAAGGCATGTTTAGAGTTTAAGGCAGTGCTACTGCAATTTGATCAACATGGAAGGACTCGTAGGTCTGCGTGCAGTCCCACTGAAGCCAATGGGGCCCTGCCAGTGTGTATGAGATTGCATTATTGGGGTCTAGGCAAGTTGAATCCTCACTTATGACCTCACACACCGTTGGTTGGCTTGAAAAACTTTAGTTTTTTAATTAGTGACTAAACACTACTCACCGAGCACCACAGCAATAAGAGCTATGCAAACATATAGTACAGCACTCCCTGCCCCCTCAGAACTTACAATATAATTTTTAACGCAAGACAAATGGATTTGGGGGAGAACAGGGAAGACAAAAGAACAGGAGCAGTAAAGGGGAGTTTTGCAAGGGACTTTTACAAGTGAAGCAGGAAAGACTGGGTGAGTCGGTCTGTTAGTTTGTTCTGTGCTTGCTTGCCTGCCTACCTGCTGTGTGATTCCTTAATTGAAGATTATAGTGTGGTCTGTTCTGGGGGTTGCGTGCTAAGCCAAGTGCTAGGCTAGGCTGAGAGTTTACTAATGAGGCTCTAGCCTGCTATCCTTTGATACCTAAATCCTTTTGGGTCCCTTGACAAGAGGCAGGGATAACTCAGGGGAAATGGGGGCTTAAAAAGCCAGCTCCTAAGAAGCCAGAGAAAGCAGCGAATACAGCAGCAAACAGGAGTTTTGTGCGGGAGTGAGTGAAGCAGATACACCTAACAAAAATACTCTAAACTTAGGCCATTTTAATCACCCACCCGCCCCAGCCAAAAAGAAAACCTGCAAGAGTAAAAATAATGCAGACAGAAGTCCAGCAACGAAGTGGGGACTATATAGTTTATTACACTGGGAGCACTCAAGGACGACAAGGCCATTGGGGAGAAGCTAAATGAATTCTTTGTATTGGTCTTCACTGCAGAAGATGTGGGGGAGATTCCAGCACCAGAGTCATTCTTTTTAGTTGCCAAATCTGAGGAACTGTCCCAGATTGAGGTGTCAATAGAGGCGGCTTTGGAACAGATTGATACAAACAGTAATAAGTCACTAAGACCACATGGTATTCACCCAAATGTTCTGAAGGAATTCATACAAAATTGAACTACTATTGTAGTTTGCATCCTATCACTTAAATCAGCCTCTGTATCAGATGACTGAAGCGTAGCTAATGTAGTGCTGATTTAAAAAAAAAAAGGAGGCTCCAGAGGCAGTCCTGGCACTTCCAGGCCAGTGAGCCTAACTTCAGTACCAGGCAAATTGGTTGGAACGATAGAAAAGAACAGAATGATCAGACACACAGATGGACATCATTTGTTAGGGAAGAGTCAACAGGGCTTTTGTAAAGGAAAATCATGCCTCACCAGTCTATTAGAATTCTTTGAGGGTGTCAACAAGCATGTGGACAAGGGTAATCGAGTGGCTGCAGTATTCTTGGACTTTCAGAAAGCCTTTGACAAGGTCCCTCACCACAGGCTTTTAAGCAAACAAAGCAGTCATGGGATTAGAGGGAAGGTACTCTCATGAATCAGTAACTGGTTAAAAGACAGGAAACAAAGGGTAGGAATAAATGGCCAGTCTTCACAATGGAGAGAGGTAAATAGCAGGGTCCCCCAAAGATCTATACTGGACCTGTGCTGTTCAACATATTCTCCCACAGCCTCCTCTCCCCACAGACCAAGGAGATCAATCCCCTCCCCTGTAGTCCAGGCAGGAGTGCGTTTGATGCGGGAGCCAGCTACTGCCCAGCTGAGAGTGCCATGTGAGCTCTCCACACTGAGGAATTTCAAAATTTCCTGGGGCTTTGAAAGGAGAGGGGCAAATGCCTGTGTAGCTGGATGTAGGGCAGTGGAGTTCGAAAAAGTGAGCATTGTGGGATACCCCCTGGAGGCCAGTTACAGCGAAGTAATAAACGCTGTGTCTACACTGATGCTTTGTTGATCTAACTTTGCCGCAACAAGCTCTATGCCTCTTGGCATGGTGGTTTTATTTTGTCAGCAAAGCAGGAGACTACTGTTGGTGGGAGGAGCATTGTCGTGTGTATACCTCCACTATTTTATTGAGAAAAGCTACCTTTTGACGACGAAACTATATAGTGTAAACAAGGCCTAACTCAGGCTATGTCTACACTGTACTTTTGTTGGTAAAACTTTTGTTGGTCGGGGTGTGGAAAAAACCACACCCCTGACTGACGAAAGCTTTACCGACGAAAAGCACCAGTGTGGACAGCGCTTTAATCAGCAGGAGACACTCTCCTACTGACAAAGCTACCACCCCTCGTTGGGGGTGGTTTTATTTTGTTGGCAGGAGAGCGCTGCTGTAAGGTGCACAGCATAGACATAGCCTCTGAGTGTCACTGTTAAATACAAGGTGGAACAGATTGTTCAGCATAAGTAATTAACACGTTTCCAGGGACCCTTCAAGGTGAAGTGACCCTTTAACACTCCTTCAGTCATAGGGAGAAAAGGGGGAGAAGCAGCTGGGGGTGGGCAGCAAACACTATTGTGGACCTATCATTCCACATCCTCAAAGGAAACCTGTACAACCTTATGCCTACACTAGAGAGCTCTCTAATGTAGCCGCTCTAAGCCGAAGGGAGACAGCTCTCTCCTGTTGGCTTAATTATTCTAGCCCCTGCAAGTGGCAGTAGCTATGTTGGCAGGAGAAGCTCTCCCACCGACATAAGCGCCGGTGGGGACAGCACTAAGTTGTCATAAGTTATGTCACTCAGGGGGTGGCTAATTCACACCCCTGAGCGACGCAACTTATGTCAACTTAAGCTATAGTATAGCCATAGTGCAATACTTTCAACAGACAAGCCTGGGAGCTTAAATTCATTACTTTGCTAGACACTAAAAATCATGGACTGAATAGACACACTGGATTTATGGCTTATTACAACAATCTGTAACCCATTAACAACCCCCCGCAGCTGCTGTCCGCACCCCCCCCACACACACATCTTTCCTCCTTATGACTAGAGGGGTGTTAAAAGGGTCACTTCACACCACTGCATACACAGTAACTGAAATAGTTATTTTTCCATTTTACTGACTTCGTACACTAGACACCACTGTGTGTGTAGACAGCTACACTGTAATTTTACAAACTGTCAGAGGAACATAGGCAGGCTTGGAGGGGGCATGCAAGGTGGTGGCCTCTAGAGCAGGGGTGAGAGTAGTGTGAGCACTCAGGACAGTGGGTCTTTGATCAGGTGTGTGTGAGAGAAGCAAGGCTGGCATTCAAGGCAGGGGGTTGCCAAGGCAAGTGAGAGAGAGAGAAGGAAAAGTTTAGGAACGGGGTGACTCTGGGAAATATATAGCATCGGAAATAATTATCACATTTGTAAAAGTGGACTAGGCTTCAAGCTGACAGGAGGGGGGACGGATAGCTCAGTGGTTTGAGCATTGGCCTGCTAAACCCAGGGTTGTGAGTTCAATCCTTGAGGGGGCCACTTAGGGATCTAGGGCAAAAATCAGTACTTGGTCCTGCTAGTGAAGGCAGGGGGCTGGACTCGATGACCTTTCAAGGTCCCTTCCCGTTCTAGGAGATAGGATATCTCCACTAATTTATTTAAAGTGACAGCATCCCTTTAAGAGTATACATCAGTAAATAAAAAGGAATGGAAACACATCCTTAGGATGACTGGTATCTGCCAAGTGTACAGTTTAGTAGTGTCAATGATCGACACCAACAGGCTTTGCCAAAGGATGCCCATTACAGCACAGAGGACTCTCGCCATAAGAAAAAGGAACTTAGGCAATAGAAAGGAATTTGTTTACAGGACTCCATTTGTGTTTTTTCTGTTGGGCAAGGAAACTCAGCCCATTATTGAGAAGTGGCAGGTTTAGAAAATTCTCCCTACCTTACTAGGGCAGGGCAAGACTATGGGGGTAGATATGAAGGTAGGTACTGAACCACACCTCTAGTTGAAGGGTTAAGGTATCCAGTATAAGCGAAAGGTGGCAGAAATGTGGTCTTCGTCAGTGAAGATGGCATGTAAAATCAGCGTAAAAAGGAGAAGACTGGAGTCAAATGAAAGGTGTAGCAGCTGGAAACAGGGAGTCCCAACTAGAGTAGCCCTGCAACTCTCCACAGATGAGGAGAGACTAACTGGGGCCCTCACCCAGGCATGTGAGGCTAGTTCTCCCGGCAGGTCCAGAGCAAAGATCTTCAGTCCCTCAGAAGCCCCAATGATTTTTTTTTTTTTTTAAGTCTAAGCTGTCTGCTGGGAGATGGCAGCCCTTAAACCCTGGAAAGGGCACTGGGAGGGCAGAATTGGGGGGTGATCATTTGTGCGTGGGCACACACGAGTATGTTCATACACAAGAACAGCAACAGGAAGTATTTTTTTAAATGGCAGAACTTTTCAACTGAATCAAAAATCACGTTGTGCAGTAGTTCTGTAGCTGAAGAGTCTTAGCTGTGTTACCCTGGCCCTGCCTTCCCCTTTCTCCCTCCTATTGCTTGTCAAACTTACCTGTTGTGTCTCATCTTATATTTAGATTCTAACCTCTGTGAGGCAAGGGTCATTTTTTTAATTTTAAGTGATTTAGGAGCATAGGTCACTTTCAATGGGATTTGTGGTTCTAAGTCACATACATGCTTTTGAAAAACCTAGCATCCAGGCAGAACCCCACAAAATTAGGGTCTCTCTAGACTGAGGTTTCACAGCAAAGTTTGACAGCTTGATATAAGGAAGAGAGGAAAACATAAGAGGAAAAGGAAGGAGTCCGGCAGTTTCTCCAATTTAGAGAGAATTTTCTGTAGAACAAAGCTCTTCTCTATTCCTCAGTCCTACTCTTCCATTTTGATACCAGACATGATGACACAACTAGCATCCTTCAAAAATATTTAATGGATTATCAAATTGAAATGCTACCTTCACTTTCCTAGATTTGATCGCTGTCAGTTACCTTACAACTAAGCTTAACTGCCTTTATCTTTTCCACATCAAAAATAAGCCTCCTATTCATAGATTTTAAGAACAGAAGCAACCACTAGATTATCTAATTTGACTTTCTGTATAACACAGGTCACAGAGTTTCACCCGATTACCCTGTAAGGAGGCCAAATTGCTTGTGTTTGGCTAAAATAGATCTTCCAGAAATGCATCTAGTTTTGATTTACACACTCCAAGCGACAGAGAATTCATCACATCCCTGCTTTCCAACGGTTAATTGCCTTCACTGTTAAAAATCTGTGCCTTATTTCTAATTAGAATTTATCTGGCTTTGACTTCTGGCCATTGGTTTTTGTTATGCCATTCTCCACTAAATTAAAGCCCTTTAGTAGCCAGTATTCCTCCATCCATCTCCGAGGCAATGATGTCCTTGCTGAGGAGAGGTGATGACACTATTATAAGAGAAGTCTAACAAGCATCTTGTTCACTTGGACACGGACAACAGATTCTACTTACCTTGTTCATGGCCAAAATAAAAGGTAGTTTTGTTTTGTACAGGATACTGAAAGGAGAGAAGAGGAGCAGTCAGAAAAGTCACCTAGACTTCAATAAGACATAGATTAACATCTTTCCACATTAAGCATGAGGCAGATAGGCCTGCATATAAAAACCAAACCCCAAAATTGTGACTTGAGTAGGAAAGGACATTTTACTCTGACCAAATTAAAGTGTAATCTTTCACTCAGATCACTAAGGACCAAAATATAAAAAGGAGGTTATAAGCATCTCTCTATAGAACAGCAATTGTCCTGTGTGCATGGCTGACTGATGTTTTTCTATTATTTCAGCTCTACTTGTTATTAACCTTCCTTTTTTCTTTTTTTTTATTTTGACTCAGGACTTTTAGCATGGTTAAGATGATATCTGTGGACTGATCTATGACCTCAAAATACATACAGACCTGCAGACCCAACTGGACATATTTTTGGATCCATGAACTTTGAGGCATAGTTACTAGAAAGGGTAAGTTCTCTGTTTAGGAATACAGAATTGCTAAACTGCATCAGACCTCAGGTCTACCCAGTTTAATATATTGTCTGGTTCTGGCCACTGTTGGAGACACTTCAGAGGATGACATAAGAACAGTGCAGCAGGCTTATGTGGAATAATCTATCCCCCATATAAAACTCATCCTCATCTCTAATACATCTCTACCTCGATATAACACGACCCGATATAACACGAATTTGGATATAATGCGGTAAAGCAGTGCTCCAGGGGGGCAGGGCTGCACACTCCGGTGGATCAAAGCACTGTGAGAGAGAGATGAATGGTCAAATCCAATAACTTTGTTCCAATTTAAGGATCTTTTCAAGAAATGTGGGCTCCCTCATTTCTTTGTGAGGATAAGACAGACAGCATTTTGAAAAGATTTATATTTGATTTCTGAACCTATGATTTCTTACCTGCAAGCATACAACATGTTAGACATAAAGGTGATAGGGCTGGTGCTGCGAGATGTGTCCATCACATAAACGACAACTGAAGGAAAAGTGGAAGCCTGAAAGAACAGGATAAAACAAGTTTTAGTTAAGTAAAACATGCCATTCTGCAACCACCTACCCCAGCCAGCCTCACTCTGATGTCGTGCAAAACACACTTACCAGTGCCTCAGTGATGATAGTGCCTGAGGCTGACCAGGTGAACACCTCAATCTGTCCTGGTGTATCAATAAGAACATATCTGTGAAGAAGGCAACCGCCAAAAACAAAGAAAGAATTAGTCAAAAGTAGGGCTGTCAAGAGATTTAAAAAAAACATGATTAATCGCACTGTTAAACAATAGAATACCATTTATTTAAATATTTTTGTATGTTTTCTACATTTTCAAATATATTAATTTCAATTACAACACAGAATACAAAGTGTACAGTGCTCACTTTGTATTTATTTTTTATTACAAATATTTGCACTGTAAAAAACAAAAGAAATAGTATATTTAAATTCACCTAATACGAGTACAGTAGTGCAATCTCTTTATAATGAAAATTGAACTTACACATGTAGCATTATGTACAAATAATAACTGCATTCAAAAATAAAACAATGTAAAACTTTAGAACCTACAAGTCCACTCAGTCCTACTTCAGCCAATCGCTCAGACAAACAAGTTTGGTTACAATTCACAGGAGATGCTGCTGCCCATGTCTTGTCTAGAATGTCACCTGAAAGTTAGAACAGGCATTAGCATGGCACTGTTGTAGCTGGCATCGCAAGATATTTAAATGCCAGATGCACTAAAGATTCATATGTCCCTTTATGCTTCAATCACCATTCCAGAAGACATGCGTCCATGGTGATGACGGGTTCTGCTTGATAACGATCCAAAGCACAGCGGACCGATGCATGTTCATTTTCATCATCTGAGTCAGATGCCACCAGCAGAAGGTTGATTTTCTATTTTGGTGGTTCAGGTTCTGTAGTTTCAACATCAGAGTGTTGCTCTTTTAAGACTTCTGAAAGCATGCACCACACTTCATCCCTCTCAGATTTTGGAAGGCACTTCAGATTCTTAAACCTTGGGTCAAGTGCTGTATCTAGCCTTAGAAATCTCACATTGGTATCTTCTTTGCATTTTGTCAAATCTGCTGTGAAAGTGTTCTTACAATGAATATGTGCTGGGTCATCATCCGAGACTGCTATAACATGAAATATATGGCAGAATGTGGGTAAAACAGAACAGGAGACATACAATTCTCCCCCAAGGAGTTCAGTCACAAATTTAATTAACACATTTTTTTAAATGAGCATCATTAGCATGGAAGTATGTCCTCTGGAATAGTGGCGGAACATGAAGAGACATATGATTGTTTAGCATATCTGGCACATAAATACCTTGCAACACCGGCTACAAAAGTACCATGCGAACACCTGTTCGCACTTTCAGGTGACACTGTAAATAAGAAGCAGTCAGCAGTATCCTCCGTAAATGGAAACAAACTTTTGTCTTAGCAATTGACTGAACAAGAAGTAGGACTGAGTGGACTTGTAGGTTGTAAAGTTTTACATTGGTTACATAACTGCACTTAAAAACAAAAACAAAAATCTACATTTATAAGTTACACTTTCACGATAAAGAGATTGCACTACAGTACTTGTATGAGGTGAATTGAAAAATACTTTATTTTGTTTCATTTTTACAGTGCAAATATTTATAATCAAAAATAATAAAGTGAGCACTGTACACTTTGTACTCTGTGTTGTAATAGAAATCAATATATTAGAAAATGTAGAAAAACATCCAAAATATTGAATAAATCTCAATTGGAATTCTATTGTTTAACACGGCGATTAATTTTTTTAATCGCCGTTAATTTTTCTGAGTTAATCGTGTGAGTTAACTGCAATTAATCAACAGCCCTAGTCAAAAGCACAAGCTTCTGGTAATTAGCCTATCAAAAAGATGGGAACAGACAGATCATGTGAATTTTTGTTACAGCTCAGGGAGATTTCTCCGAAAGTGTTCTGAGACTTAGGGCTTGTCTACACTGGCACATTTCTGCACAGTAAAGCAGCTTTTTGCCTCAAATGACTGCTCTGCTCATTGTTTTGAACTCGGCTGCCCTGGAGACCTACACCCCTCCCCTTTCAAAGCACCATTTCTGACAGCTGTTGCTCCAAAGCAAGCCATTAATGTGGAATGCATGCTGTTGAACAGGAGGGAGGGAGGGAAGGAGGGAGGCAGGTAAGTGCTGATGTTGGGGGTTTCCCCCTCCCCCAGGACTGGCTGCTTCCTGTTGCTGTCTGAACTTACAAGACAGCATGCTGACACACAGGAGAGAGATCACTTGATCATTGCCTGTTAGGTCCACTCCCTCTGGGGCACCTGGCATTGGCCACTGTCGGTAGACAGGATACTGGGCTAGATGGACCTTTGGTCTGACCCGCTACGGCCGTTCTTATGTACACTCTATCCCCCAAAACATCCTGTCCCCTACATACACACACTCCCTGTCTCACATTCCCCCCTGCCCCTTCAGTTGAAAAGAAGTTGGCAATGTAGTAGGATGCCCATGTATCACGGAGTCACCGGGCGATGCTCTTGAACTACTCCATATGAAGCCAGTCAGGACTCTGGGGGAGCCTCCTCTCTCTGAGCATACTGTCTCCCGGGCAAGAAGCTTACACAGCTTCGACCTTCCTGGGTCTGACCTTGGAGCATTCAGCATCCCCCTTTCACACGGTGCACTTCCCACAGCAAGTCCGCACCGGCGGGGCTCCTGGGGAAGCCAGAGGGCCTGCACCCCAACTCCGCAGTCAGATGTGACTCTCAGCCAGCATAAAACAGAAGGTTTATTCGTAGACAGGACCACAGCGTAGAACAGAGCTTCCTATTACAGACATCAGTGACTTTCAGCCAAGTCCATCTTGGGAATCCTGGGCCAGACGCCCTGGATTCCCCCTCTTCCAGTTCCCCCAAGCAGACTGCCAGCCTCCAGCCTCTCCTCCTTCTCTCACTTCCCAGGCCAAAGGTGTCACCTGGTCGCACCCCCATCCTGGGTCTCGGGTTACATAGCTGCAAATAGCTGGGCAATCTCACCTGCTCTGAGGGCCTCAGCAAATCACACACCCAATTCCCACCACCAAAGTATTGGTGGAGTACACAGGGAAACTAAGGTACACACAGTATTAGTATAGGACAGTAAGACTCACATGCAACATAGCAAGATGAATTAAACCCCACTTCATCACATCATGGAACAATGGGATTGGGAAACCTGCATCATGTGATGCTGTGCTTGTCCCATGAGGCATTGCAAACCCTTCCCAAAGCACCCTGCAGCCTGTGCACAGTGGGATAACTACCACAATGAATTGCTCTCTTTGCCTTTGCAAGAGCTGCTAATGTGGATGCGCTTCACCATCACAAGGAGCACAGCATGGACATGCAACAGCGGTTTAATTCCAGCGTTTTATTAAAAGTGGTGTAACTTGTGGCGCAAGAAACTTGCCAGTGTAGATATACCCTTAGGAAAGGACCTGAAAATCTCCTGCACTGAAGGTATCAGCAAAAGATCATTACTGTTCAAAAGCATCAACATAACAGCTACTTAGACTGTAAGCTCTTTAGAACAAAAACTGATTCCCTGTGTTTACACATCACGTAGAACAATGGGGCTTATATGAATTGTATTAAAGGAGCTTTGCAATCAACAGACCCATCCTCTAACAACTTCAAACTGTTAGCATTTGGACTATATCACAGAGGACATTAATTTAATTATCCATCAAATTCCAAGTCTTCTGTTTAGATATCGTCAATATTGAGGCTAAGGGAAAACCAACAAGCAGGTGGCACTGAACTCCCCCCACCCCCACCACACATCACATGGACCTTACAGAAGAAAAATAGATAAAATTACCAGTCTTGTACTGGGAAAGCACAAGAGAGGGGTGAGACCAGGAGAATGAGTCTCCAAATTATTCTGCTCTGGTTACTGGAAGCTTGTGGTTCTGCTTCCAGCTGTAGCTCTTTTCTCAAGCACCACATACCTAAGTAGCAGACAGTTCCTGCACCTGGATATATACAAATCTTTCCCAGCATAAGACTGGTAATTTCAGACAGCTTTGCTCAAGTAAAGACCCTGTACTGGAACTCTTTCAAATGGCTTTCCTAGGGGGATTTCAGAATAGTATATTTTTTTGGAATTTACTCACTGAGATGTGTTCTGTCGCTTTTCAATAAACTTCATCACCTGTTTGGAAAGAAAAGGAATCAATAATAGGCTTTTTATTTAGATCCATTACAAAGCAAAGACTATGCTCTTTAATAAGAGATAAGCTTTAACTTCAAATTACTTTTTTTTGGACTATATATGTACACCAAGGAATGCTAAAGTTAAAAACCCAAGCATTTAAAAAATATCCAATTTCTCTTAACAGTTAATTTCTATAAGTACTCAATCATTGCATATACTAAAATCAACCTTAACTCTGCCCATATCCTGATCAGAGAAATTGTACAAGGAAGGCAATAATTTCCCACTCTTCATTAAGAGTCTCATCTTGTGTGATGTGGTTTGGTTCAATGCCTCCTCGAAGGTCCTCGGCATTTCACTAAATCAGGCCCTGTGATTCCAGATGGAAGCCAGTTTTCAAGTGTCATTAGATAGAGCTAGCAAGTCTCCATATACAAGCCTCAGATGCCCAGAAATCAGAGCACATACATGAAAAGGACAGAAATCAGAATAGTGTCAAAGCAGAACACATAATATCAAAGACAAGTATGTATGAAAAATTACACAATTGATGTTCTGTGGTGTACATTTTCTATACTCTACACACAACGAGAAGCTGGCATCTCTACGGGAGTAGAGCTAAGGCAGACTGGAACCTCCACATTTTCAAAAGTTTGGGTTTCTTGTATCTTTAGTCTTAACTCTGAATATCCTGGGTTTCTAAATGTTAGAGTTAAAATGTACCCAACATTCTGGAAAGGTAATAACTCAAACCACTGATATATGCCTGCAAACTTAACTTCATCTTAACAAAGTTCTTTGTGATATAGCAACATCTTAAATATCTTTTAACTTAAAGGTAGTATGTTGTTGGAGGATAAATAAAAATAAAAAAAAAAATTCAAGGCTTAGGAGTGCCACCATATCCTGGCTCTTGCTAGACCACACGAAGCTAATGAACTGCAGTTTCCCCAATTTTCCTCTGCATCATATTGCTTTGCAGAGTTTATATACAAACTGCAGTGTTCTCATTTCTCCTGTTTTTCTTACTCTGCATAGAATTTATGAAGTACTTGTCAAACCATTCAAACTTCATACGGCAACTATCTCTTTACTAAATAAAGACAATTTTTGTTTTATTAGCCTATGTTCCAGATATTAATCATGTTTAACTGTAGTACTGTAAACATTCAAAACTTCACATTGTTTTAGCTACAGGATTCAAAGATTCTTCAAGGAAAATTTTGAAAATGGTAGAATTTTTAAGCAAACTTAAAAATGGTTAGGTGAATTGCCTTCAAACATCCAAAAAAATAATTTAAAAAGGAAGTAAGCACAAAAATACATTTCCCAAGTAAAGTTACAAGGTAAGAGAATACAGGGCTTAGACTGTCTGCTACTCTGTTTGTACAGTGCCTAGCATTATGAGCTCCCATTCTTGGTTGGTACTTTGGCACTACCATAATAAACACGATTAATAATAATCATAATAATCAGGGGACATGGCTGCAAACTCAATTATTACCCCTGAGACATTTTACTCTCACAGCAGCAAATCCCTGGATCAAACTCAATTTAACATTACTCAGTCAATTTACTAGATATGTGGTTCAATGCAGTAGACTGCACTTACCCTGCCTCAAAGCAATTACTTTTTATGGCAGCTTCTAACTTTTCTTCTCAGTGAAAATATGCCCTCTGCAATTCCACATGTGGAAGAGTGTGAAATTGGCTTGTAAGTTACATGCTGCCTCTTACTAACATACAGCACAGCCTCATATAATAAGCACAAAGAGCTTGGTACCTGATCAAATCTTGTGGCAAAGAGATTGAGAGAAGTCACTATTCCACCATTTGGGCCCAGACCATATCTGGACACACAGCTCAGGAAAGCAGGTTATAGAAATGTTAATAGGCTTTTTTCCCAAACCTGGTACTACTTGCTTGTTTACATAAGTGTCTGGCATACTCTTGGACTAACAGTAACAAGTAAGAGACAAAGCCCCGGCCCTGGAGAGTTTACAATCTAATTTCCTAGGTGATGCAACCAATAAACGATAGGAAAGGACAGGGTTTTCATCAGTACATTGTAAAGAACTTTACATCGTTACCCCATTTTTCATATGGGAAACTGAGACACAGAGCGGTGAAGTCACTTGCCCAACATCACCCAGCAGGGCAATGATTTGTCCCAGTCAAGTGGTCTCTTCACTAGGCCACACACTTGCTATGCGTTTCTGTAGCAGGGTGCTGATGCAAAAGCACTTAATTAGCCCCTGCCCAGTCAGCTCCAATCAGGGGAAACAGATTGGGGCTGATGGAAAAGGCCTGATGCCAGCCTGAGGATTGGCAACACCTGCTGGCCTGACAAGCCAAGGGTTATAAAGACTGGGAGGAGCCAGAAGGCAGGGGACAGCCAGGAAGAAGTCAGTCAGTCAGTCAGGGAGGGAACTGGAGGCCTCCTAGCTGAAGGCTGGCTCTGCCTGTAAAGGAGGAGATTAATCCTGTAAAACTTGTACATAGACGGACACTGGTGGTGGGACGAAGTTAATAAAGACACGGGTGTTGCACAACCCTGAACCCTCTCTGAGCCTTATTGGGGAGGGCAAGCGGGCCCCAGGAAGAGGGGTAGGTCGTGCACCCTGTTACAGTTTCCTAATCACTCTGTCCATTTTGTTACAGTGGAATGGGGATAATGGCCATGCTTAGAAATGTTCGAAGTGTGTAGCTGCTAACAGGGTCAGTCAGAGAAATCTTGTACATGGTCTATGTCCCAAAATCTTAACAGTTGTTACATCATTGTTACAGTAATTTTAAGCATTCAAAGTCTCTCTCTCTCTCTCCTTCTCCAAGCTCTCCCCAACCATTCCCTGAAACATTTTGCCTTCTCACTGGTTCCAGCTCACTCTGCCCTTCCCATGCCATTAATTAACACTGCAGAAGCCATTACCATGCAAGAACTTGCTCCTTGGAGCCGATGGGAACCCCTGTCTCGTTTTCCCCAGGTTCCTTCCAAGTGGGCCACCTCCCCACCCTCACCTGAGCCCCTCATCTCTTCCCATTCCACCCATCCCCATTTATGCCCTTCCCCATAATCACCCCCAAACCTTTTCCCCATTCCCCCTCCCAGCAAGCATCTATAGGTCTTTTTTTCATTCAAATATACTTTGATTACATTCCCTCCAAAGTGAAAAAAAACCCTGAAATAATTAGATTTTAGCAAAATGCCTTCAGATCTTTTTGAGTTTTCTGGCCTACATTGAACTCAAATTGACACTGGCTGAGTGGTCTGGGATCAAAGACTACTGCTTATCCCTTTGAGGTGCAGTAAAATTTTCCTTGTTTCAAACCCCTTTTGCTCCTCGGTCCACATGTGTTCAGCATAACCCATTCAGTTCATGCGCATTAGGCACATGCCTACAATGAGAGCTAAATGCTGTGATTTTTTGGTCCCCCAAAAGGCTAGGGGTATCATGCACTCGGCGGCGGTAACTCCTGAGTGACTGAGATCCTGGGTTATGATCTCAGCCCTAGTTTGATCCTTATCTGTATGCAAATATACAATGGTGGAATTCATGAACCCTAAAATCTGTTTTGGGTTTTTTTGGGTGGGGGGGGAAGCTGTAGGTGAGGAACCCACTTTGTGAAATGACCAAAAATCTGGATCACTAACCCTGTCCCACGCCCTCACGAGGCACAAAAATTTTCAAGGTTATTCAAGTAATAGTGCAGATTTTAGAGCACTTGAGAGTCAAACTTCAAACTGAAAGCTAGTATAAAAGTTAACTCTAGCAGACCTGGCAGTCCGCTATACTGTACGCTACAAGCAGGGCCGGCTCCAGCATGTCTGCTGCTCCAAGCAAAAAAAAAAAAAAAAAAAGCCATGATCGGCGGCGGCAGTTCGGCGGCAGGTCCTTCGCTCCTAGAGGGAGTGAGGGACCTGCCGCCCCTCTCCCTTGGCCGCCCCAAGCACCTGCTTGTTAAGCTGGTGCCTGGAGCCGGCCCTGGCTACAAGCATTAACCCTTTAACTCATCAATACCTACACTATTTCATAACACCATTCTTCCCAGAGATCAAATATCCATAATAAAAGATCAGGCAAATAATAAAAAGCCCATCAAGTCAGGTGTTCAGTCTCCAACAATGGTCAATGTTGGATGCTGCAGAGACAGCTATAACCCTCTCCTTGCACCTAAATCCCAATTTCCATCTGAAGAACATAACATAAGAACGGCCATACTGGGTCAGACCAAAGGTCCATCTAGCCCAGTATCCTGTCTTCCGACAGTGGCCAATACCAGGTGCTCCAGAGGGAATGAACAGAACAGACAATCATCAAGTGATCTATCCCGTTGCCCATTCCCAGCTTTTGGCAAACAGAGGTCCATTGATGGACCTATCCTCCATGAATTTATCTAGTTCTGTTATAGCTTTGGCCTACATCCTCTGGCAAGGAGTTCCACAGGTTGACTGTGCGTTGTGTGAAAAAATACTTCCTCTTGTTTGTTTTAAACCTGTTGCCTATTAATTTCATTTGGTGACCCTAGTTCTTGTGTTATGAGAAGAAGCAAACAACACTTCCTTATTTACTGTCTCCACACCAGTCATGATTTTATAGACATCTATCATATCCCCCCTTACTCATCTCTTTTCCAAGATGAAAAGTCCCATTCTTATTAATCTCCTTCATATGGAAGCTGTTCCATACCCCTTATCATTTTTGTTGTCTTTTTCTGAACCTATTCCATCACAGGAGCACCAACAAGCAAACCAAAGCCCTTGTTTTCCAACCTACCCAGGCCAACCAGTATCCTGGCTTAAATTCTCACTGTGTCTGGCTACATTTTACCCATGAGCAACCCCAAACCCCAACCCTCTCTGTTTTCCTCAGTGTACAGAGATGGTATCTGTGTCTGTAGGAGTTGAGTATGCAGAGGTGATCTTAAGCAAAGGAAAAGGATACTGTTTCATGACTTCTTTGTACTTCACTGTGTCTCTGATATCTAGAAAAGAATAAAGTGATAAAGTCACAACTGAATAAATTATAGTAATGTGATGAGAGGGGAAAGACAGCTCCCCAGGTGTAAGCATTCCCCCTTCCCTCCCTGCCTCAATGAAGGCAGCCAGTACAGGTGGGACTATTTCACAGAGGACTTTAATGCTTCATCGACACTAGCCACCCCCACCATACTTGTAAAACATCACATCGATACACAAGACCTCCAAATAATTTACATGTTTGACAATCACCGTTTGGATTAGATTTGCTTTCAGCAGGGCTAGATCCAGATACGATGGTGAACAGAACATGTGCATTTATCTGGACAGTGAGGGATCCAACACTCTTGAGAGCTGTAAAGCGGGGTTCTCAAAATTCATTGCACTGTAACCCCCTTCTGACAACAAAAACTACTACACAACACCAGGAGGAGGAACTGAAGCTTGAGCCCAACCAAAGCCCAGAGGTTTCAGCCGCCAGCAGGAGGACTGTAACCTGAGCCCAGTGCCCAGGGCTGAAGTCCTAGAGTTTTGGCTTCAGCCCCAGGCAGTGGGGCTCGGGCATCGGCTTTAGCCCCAGACCCCAGAAAGTCTAAGCCAGTCCTGGTGACTCCATTAAAACAGGGTCCCGACCCACAGTTTGAGAACCGCTGCTGTAAAGCAATAATTTATATTTCTCTACTTTGCTTGTAACCCTCTAAATCCACCCCTCATCTAGCATTGCAAATCCTTCGCTATCAACACTCCCTCCCTTTGCCCACTATGTTTCTCACTCTCGTTTTCTAACCTCTCTTTTCATTTTTCAGCCACCCCTCTGTACTCTCCTGTTCACATTCTTTTGTTACCACAATATCATCCCTTCCCCATTTCACAGAAATATAGGAATTACCAGGATGGATCAGACCAGTAGTTTATTTTAGTCCAGTCACCCACATCTGCCTGTAGTCAATGCCAGATACTTTACAGAAAGATACATGACACCCCATAGTTGACAGTTATGGAATAATATGCACAGGGGGAAGTTTCTTCCTAACTTCAGGCAGCTGGTGGTTTTATGCCCTGAAGTAGGAAAGTTTCCATCCCTTTTTAGTCCTAGTGTGATTTTGAATGTGCAAGTTATTCATATAGATATAATCCTTTTTTGAATGAATCCTAACCTATTTAACTCTTTGACACAAAATATTATTGAGGCTATATGCTGTGCAGAAAGTAAAAATTAAACCCCAACAGCCACCCAAAAATTTACTTTTTAAATAAGTAAATATGATACAACACAATCGGTCAAGACACAACTATCTAAGCAGCCACTTGCTTTCACTGTAACTATGGGCATCCTCCCCCACCCACTTACACTTTTGATTTTTTTTTCTTTAATAACTTATGTGGGTTTTTTGATTCACTTAAGTCTATTTAGATTTTAAATTCTTCAGGCCAGCAACGTCTATTATATCTCTGGAATGTGCCTGCCCAGTTCTGAGTGCTATGGAAACAATATCTAGTCCATATGCCTAAGCTAGAACATGGCTGTTCCCAGTGATTAAAACAGACTGAAATAGAAGGGAGAGCCAAACCAGGAAAAGGAAGTCTGAAAGCTTCACTCCCTTACACTGTAGAGGGCAACCTGGGATTAAAGTATCCTCCAATACTCTGTTTAGTCCAATCTGAATATCACAAATGAAGGGCATACCAAACTCTGAAATAACCTCCCCTCATCAAGTGCTTCTTGATAGGCAGTTTATATTTTTTGCTTTTCCAGTTTCAAAGTTGAAAATCTTGTTCACTCATTTGTCCCCTTCTGCAATTCCTTCCACGCCATCCCTTAAAAATAGAATGCTCTTCTCTGAACTATTCTGAAAGGGTATTAGTCTTGTCCTTCAGCTTCCTCCATCAAGACTCCTTCTGTGATGCACAAAGGAAGTCACAAATTGAAAATGGCTAAACTAAGGCTTGGTCCACACTGGGGCGGGGGATCGATCTAGGAAACGCAACTTCAGCTATGAGAATAGCGTAGCTGAAGTCGACGTTTCCTAGATCAAACTAAGTTTACTTACTGCGGGTCCACGTGGCGCAGGCAAGCTCCTCCGTCGACAGCGCTTCCTCCTCTCAGCAAGCAGGAGTTCCGCAGTCGACGGAGGAGCGCTTCTGGGATCGATTTATTGCGTCCAGATGAGACGCGATAAATCGATCTCAGAAGATCGATCTCTACCCGCCGAATCAGGCGGGTAGTGTGGACCTAGCCTAAGTGGCAACTGCCAATAGCTAATATTTATAAATAAAAGAGAAAGCTTTCAAATGCTTCAGAACCACCTCATATTACTACTACTCTTGTCCTTCATTCCTCATTCTCTCCATTGTTTGTTACAGCTTCTTCCAGATTAGACAGCAAACTTTCCAAATCAGGGGCTGTTTACCTGAGCATCAGTACCATGCCCAGAACAATGGGCTCCAATCCTAACTAGAGCCTTCAGTTGCTAGTGCCATGCAAAAAATAAATAAGCCCTTTTCTCCCTAGTTATACCCCGTTAGTCTACCCTAAATAAACCCCTGCATTAGCATTCACTCTTCCAACATGAGATACAAACCCACCTAGCCAACTACCTCACAGCATCCAACTTCCCATTTCTGAACAAAGATATACAAAAACTACAAAAGTATTGAGAATACAGTGAATTACATATCTAGTAAGTTTTGTATCTATGTTTTTAACTAGCAAACTCAGTATTAATCACAACCTGCCTACAACCCAGAGCCCTCTCAATCAGGACCAGGCACCGAGACAGCACTACTAGATACATCTTTCATGGGTAAGGGAGAAAGAGCTCATTCTGCTCAACCCTCAACTGCATGGGACATTATGAACTACTAGGTGTTAGACTTGCCTTAGAAACGTGACTGGGATGAACAAATAGGCTCCGTAGTCAGAGGAGTCTGTATATTAAACCAGCAATGACTAGCCCTGACTCAGCACTTCCTATAACAGGGCTGCACGAAAGGGCATCTGCCCCTCGAGGCAGGGAGCGCAGCGCGAGCTACTCACCGATGTTGGCGGGAAAAGGAAGCTCGTGCACAGCAGGGTCCAGGTTGATGACGTAGGGCGGGGAATTCTGGCTGTGCAAATGGGCAGTGAGCCTCTGGGAGAAGAGGGAGAAATTAAAGGCCAGGACGAGACCTCTCTTCCCCTCCCCCCGCAGACACCTGCCCTCCCCCGGCCCGGGAGATGGCCCCTCCCCCGGGTCTCATCTCGTCACCTGCACCAGGGTGGTTTTCCCAGAGCCCGCCATGCCCAGCACCAGCACGCACACCGGCGGGGCCGGAGCCTCAGAGCCGGCTCCCGCCGGCGCCACCTCTGCCGCCGCCGCCATCTTGCTAATGCCCCTTCCGCTTCCGGAGCAGATCGAAAAGCGCTTCCGGGCGGAAGCGGAGTGTGAGCCCTGGGGCGGGCTGCGGGAAGGAGAGTGACTCACTCCCGGGCGACACGGTACAGCCCCTGCCTATTGACAGCGGCTCCCCCGCCATCGCTCAGCACGGCACCGCTGCCTCTCCCACCCCCGCACTGCCCCGCACGATGAGTGCTGCACGGGGCGGCGGCAACACCGAGAAGACAGTGGTGGGGTAACCCATCCAGCGGGTGCATGAGTAGACGGGCCCTGGAATGGTGGTTTTATTGGCCATGAGTATGTGCTACCTGTGGAAAGAGGGAAGGCAGGAAGGTGAGGTTGGGGAAGGGGAGGGAGGAATTCCATGAAAGATCGGGGAGGAGAGGAGTTAGCGCAGAAAGGGGAGAGGAGGATAAATTCATTCAAAGATTCTAAGGCCAAAACGGATCATTGTGATCACCTACATAAGAAAGGCCGTACCAGGTCAGACTGATGGTCCATCTAGACCAGTATCCTGTCTTCTGAGGATGCCCATGCCCAGTGCCAGACACTTCAGAGGGAGTAACAGAGGGTCCTGTGGCACCTTTAAGACTAACAGAAGTATTGGGAGCATAAGCATCTGAAGAAGTGAGGTTCTTACCCACGAAAGCCACAGGACCCTCTGTTGCTTTTTACAGATTCAGACTAACACGGCTACCCCTCTGATACTTCAGAGGGAGTGAACAGAACAGGGCAATGTATTGAGTGATCTACCCCCATCATCCAGTCCCTGCTTCTAGCAGTCAGAGGTTTAGGGACACCCAGAGCATGGATTATATCCGTGACCATCTTGGCTAGTAGCCATTGTTGGACCTATCCTCTATAACTTATCTATTTTTTTTAACTCAGTTATACTTTTGTCCTTCACAACATCTCCTGGCAATGAGTTCCACAGGTTGACTGTGTGTTGTGTAAAGAAGTACTTCCATTTGTTTTAACCGAGCCTATTCATTTCATTGGGTGACACCTGGTTCTTGTGTTATGTGAAGGGGTAAATAACACTTCCTTATTTACTTTCTCCACACCATTCATGGTTTTATTGAGCTCTATAATATATCACCTCAGTCATCTCTTTTCCAAGCTGAACAGTCCAAGTCTTTTTAATCTCTCCTCATATAGAAGCTGATCTATGCTTCTAATCATTTTTGTTCCCCTTCTCTGTACTTTTTCCAGTTCTAATATATCTTTTTTGAAATGGGGCAAACAGAACTGCATGCCTTATTCAAGGTGTGGGAGTACAGTGGATTTATATAGTGGCATTATGATATTTTCTGGCTTATCATCTCTTTCCTAATGGTTTCTAGGATTGTTAGCTTTTTGACTACCATTGCATATTAAGCAGATATTTTCAGAGAAGTATCATAAATGACTCCAAGATCTTTCTCCTGGGTGGTAACAACTCATTTAGACCCCATAATATCACTGCCTTGTTTACACTAGGCTTTTGTCTAAGGTTCTTGTATGGCTGGTTCCTATTTTTACAGTATCTGAGAACTTCACCATCTTTATCCTCACAACACCACCATGAAATAGAGAAGTATTATTATCCCCATTTACAAATGGGGAACTGAGGCACAGATAGGCTAAGTGACTTGCTCAAGGTTACCCAGGAAGTCTCTATGGAGCAGAGAATTGATCTCAAGTCTCTCAAACCTTAGGCTTGTGCTTCAACCATTAAACTAGCCTTCTATAACACATTAGCTAGCATGGGAGTTTTAGGTTGGACACTAGGAAAAACTTCCTAACTGTCACGGTGGTTAAGCAATGTAATAAAGTGCCTAGAGAGATTGTGGAATCTCCATTGTTGGAGATTTTTAAGAGCAGATTAGACAAACAGGGATGGTCTAAATCAGAGGTCTCAAACTCCCGGCCCGCAGGCCATCTGCGGCCTGAAAACCTCCCCAACGTGGCCCGCGGGGCTCCAGCAATTTTGGGGCCAGGTCTCTCCCTTGGCCTCACCTGCCGCCCCGGGGCACTCCCCCCCCAGCGATTTAAAATGGCTCAGGGCCCCACTCACCACTGGCAGCGCACCGGAGCTGAGCGGCTTCTGCCTGCTCGCTCCACCTGTCTGCCAGCCCCTCCCTGGGGCACAGCTGTGCCTCTACGCGCTGCCCCCGCCCTGAGCACCTCTGCGGCCAATGGGAAGCTGTGGGGGTGGTGCTTGGGGGCAGCAGCTTGTGGAGGCCTGGGCCCGGCCCACCCTGCCTTGGAGCATCAGGTAAGTGCCACATATCCTGACCCCCTCCCAGCAGGGCCATCCAGGGAGGGGGAGGAAGAGGAGAGGGGGGGCAAGTGGGGCAATTTGCCCCAGGCCCCTGGGCCCGGAGGGGCCCCCATGAGACTATAGTATTCTATAATATTGCAACTTTTTTTTATGGAAGGGGCCCCCGAAATTGCTTTGCCCCCAGGCCCTCTGAATCCTCTGGGCAGCCCTGCCTCCCAGAGCCTGCACCCCTCCCGCCCCAAACTCCCTCCCAGAGCCTGCAACCCCACCCCATCCTCCTGCACCCCCTGCCCCAGCCCAGAGCCTGCACCCAGCACCCAAACTCCCTCCCAGAGTCCAACCTCTCACCGCTTCTGCACCCAAACTCCCTCCCAGAGCCTGAACCCTGCACCCCAATCCCCTACCCCAGACCTCCTCCCTAACCCAAACTCCCTCCCAGAGTAGGGTGACCAGATAGCAACTGTGAAAAAATGGGACGGGGGTGGGGGTAATAGGCGCCTATATAAGAAAAAGTCCCAAAAAACAGGACTGTCATTATAAAAATGGGACATCTGGTCACCCTATCCCAGAGCCTTAGGCAGGTGGGGGGTGGAGTTTGGGGGGGCAGGTTCTGGGTGGCATGTGTGACATTATTGGCCTGCTGGGAGGATTTGAGGACTGGCACTGGCCCTAAGGTAAATTGAGTTTGAGACCCCTGGTCCAGATAATACTTAGTCCTACCAGGAGTGCAGGGGACTGGATTAAATGACCTCTTGAGGTCCCTTCCAGTCCTATATGATTCTGTGTTCTAACAACACACTTCTAACTCAAACTAGATGATTATGATTACAATGGTCCTTTCTGGGTTTATAATCTAGGCTAGACAAATCCTAAAGGACACAAATGGGAATGCAGGACCATTATGGTGACAGTTTGATGGCTACTCAAAAGATATGTCCTGAGCTTCTTGTTTCATCTAGTTGGGGAAGGGGGAGAAGTCAAATGAGCCAGAAGGAACAGGTGACCTTGTGATTCAGATGGCTCAGAAGATGATTCAGTCGTAGTTCATGATTAGGAGGAGACTGCACAGGCAGCCTATCTCTCCAGCTCCCATAACTCCACTCCTGCCACCCAGTCCTCACCTGCCCCTCCAGCTGCCAATAGTAATTTTGGCTCAGTGAGCAAGACTCACAGCTGGCCACCTGCCTGGGCATGGCCAGCTAGCTGGGTGTTGAAGGGCTCACAGCAGAGGTGACTCCGAGGAGACTGGTTTTCTTGGGGCTAGGCTAGGCAGGGCCCCAAGGCAAAGGCACGAAGCCTGTGTTTGATGCCACCAAGGGGAGCCAACGGACTAGGGCAGAGGGGGTTGTGGGGATGGCATCAGAGGACGGGGTAAGCGGCCGGGCTGCGGTCACAGGACATTGACTCCTGCTCCTGCCTGCGGGTTGGGGCGGGTCCGCCAGAGTGGGAGGGGGCGTGGCACTCTCGGAAACGGCTGCTCCGGCGGAGGGTTTGACTCTATGGTTGAGGCGCGGTAAGATGAGGTCACCGCCAGCCTGTTTGGGTCACGTGGGTGATCACCGCTGTTTGTGAGTGGCGCAGAGCGATGAGGCGGTAGTGGGGCGCGCGCCATGCGGAGCAGCGGCTGTTCGGTAAGTGCTGGCTGCTCGCCCCCTCTTCCCGGACACTCCCCGCTCCAGGCAGCTCAGTCCCCTCCTCCCCGCGCTGTGCTCCGCGCCGGCCCGTGGGCTCCGGGGGCCAAGTGGCAGCGCCTGGCCGAGCTCGTCCCTCCAGGTCCCCCCCTTTGTGCCCCGCAGCCTTGTGTCAGACGGGGCTGTGAGCTCTCCAGGGCAGGGGCTGGCTCCGTGTCCGGGGCGCCCGGCTCGAGTCACTGGCGTGTTCTCGGCCGGAACGCGGCAGCTGGTCTCTGAAGGTGGAGAAGGCGCAAACTGCAAAGCTGGTAAATAGAGACAACAGCCTGTCATCACGTTACCTTGTATCCCACCTCAGTAGCTCTGTGTCCATCTGTGTCTCGTGCCCTATACTCTCAGGGGTAGGGGAGCATGTTTTGTTCTGTGTTTGGGCAGGGCCTAGCACAGTGGGATCCTGGACCACGACGAGGGCTCCTAGGCACTATGTTACTATAGATAATAACAATCTGTATTAAGAAACTGATCTAGCACAAGTTTGCTTGACTGGGCTAGGGACTGGTCCTATGCTTTGAGCTGCTGGAACCAGGAGAGCATTTGCCTAGATGATAACATTTAAACTTCTTTCAATGACAGTTAAGGCATTCAAATATTATAATGTTGCAGGGCATTGAAAATAATGTGAGTCTAGACAGAGCTTGAGTGTGACATGAGAGCCAGGTCCACGCACCGATCACCTCAGAAAGGGACAGAGCGCTGCATGGACTGGAACTGAAGATACAGGTTTTAGGGAGTTGTATGGTGGAACCAAAATGGCATTCATTCAGATCTCTTGAACCTGGTTAACTGCCCATAGAAACTGTAATAGAGTTTTAGCAGCAGGAATACACTTTTCCACACACAACACATGGACATTTGGTGCTGAGGCTGATCCATCCTTATCCATGTGCATCTGTAAGCACCTTGATTAACATCTCATCAGACACATAACTGCACTGGAATTGTTGATTGTTGTTAATTACAAATACTTCTGCAAGTGTTCAAACAATGTTCAGCAGGGTGGATTTGATTTAAATCCAGTTGATTTAAATCACTAGTCAGGAAGACTTGATTTAATCATGGATTTCTACATAAAAGTGCATTCTTGTTGGTTGTTATAACCTTAATACATATTCTTCACAACTCAGAGATAGATGTAGGTTTCATTTTTAGAAGGTACACACTATACATTTTTAAAGTGGTTACTTTTGAAAACTTTTCAGATTAGTTTTACAGCTATATCAGAAAATGAATGATTGGTTATTTCATTTACCAAAGGTAATTGAAGCAGGTATTTATGAAGTCATTGGGAGGTGAACTATCTCCAATTCAACAGGTTAATCATTAATATTTGGAGGATTTTCTTGCCATGCTGTATTATGAGGAGACCATTACCAGACAGACATTTAAATTGTATTGTTTGCCAGAAGCTGGGATTGGGTGACTGCATGGATCACTTGATGATAACCTGTCTGGTCATTCCCTTTGGGGCAGTTGCCATTGGCCACTGTCAGAGGACAGGATACTGGGCTTGATGGACCTTTGGTCTGACCCAGTATGGCCGTTCTTATATTTAATGAAAACAACATTATTATGTATTCTGGATTTTTTTCTTCATCAGTAAACATAATCTTTTAACAAAACAAACATAGGAATTTTTGAATTTAGTTAAACATTCAAGTTTTTTAAAATCAGGTTTGTTTTTGTTAAAATTGTCTTAACTAAAATAGTTAAATGAAATATTTAAAAAAACAAAAACAAAAATTAAATCGACTATGTCAGCCAGGTCAACATAAGAAGCCTAAAATATTGGCTTCTGCAGCTAACTCAGTTGTCTTCACCTTCATTTTCCTGTTTGTTCATAATCTGGAAAAGAAAAACAAGCTTTCCTGCTTTTTCAGGACCCAAACGATTTCTTAATTTGGTTAAAAGTGAGATTATCACTTCAACAGTCTCTGAATCCAAGTGCTTAAGTGACTTCCACCAGTTCACTGGTGTGACTTTCTTTAAAACATCATCAGCAAACATATATTCCTTGAATGGTTCACCCTTAGCTCTGAAGTTTATTATAGTTGGCATTATGAAGGGATGATTGCTGGATGTCCATGTTATAGCCAACTCCTCCTCTTCAGCAGTTAAGGGTTGACCCTCATATGGAATATTGAGAATATTTGCAAGAAAATGAGCCGGAGATAGTGCTTGTCCCATTCATTTTTTGTAATGCTTGTAATTTAACTCGGTCATTGAATATTTCTCTTTTAAAGATCTCACTCAGTTCCTTCCAAATTTCAACAGCATCAACAATAAAACAGCTATTTCCCTGCATTTTGTTCAAGGCTACAGAAATAGGCTTCAGGGTACTCAGCAGGTGTTCAACATTTCTCTTAAGCACAATGTTGAGAATTTTGGCTGTGACAGTGTTAGGATATAGATATCCAGGCCTGTCTGTAAAGGCCTGTACTTTAGGAATTTACGTGTATTCTGATCCCTTAGCTAGTTATAGAGGTATAAAAGAAAGAATCAAAATCACTGTCTGTCTGTGTAAGGGCCTTCTTGTACTGTGACAGTCTGAGGCTCTGTTCTTAGGCTAAGTAAGGCCTTTGGCTACGCAGCAGAGGCAGCCATAAGCTGAGAAGTGAACGGTCACATCCTCACATTCCAAACTAGTCACATGGAAATAAGGTGCTATTGGGCTGTTAGGAATACAATCCTGTCCTGATATTCCTGTCACCTCCAGAGAAAGGAAAGAGCCTAGAAGATGTAAAAGGAAACTTAGGTTGATAGTTTTCTGTCTGGTAAGAACTCACTTATCAATAGACACAGTTGGAAAACCCTTATGTCTGTATAGATGTAGTTGTGAAATCCTCGCTTCTGTTTTGTTTTGTATGTTTGCATGGTTTCTGTCTGGTTCTGTAATTGTTTCTGTCTGCTGTATAATTAATTTTGTTGGGTGTAAACCAATTAAGGTGGTGAAATATAATTGGTTAAATAACCATGTTACAGTATGTTAGGATTGGTTAGTTAAATTTCAGTAAAATGATTGGTTAAGGTATATCTAAGCAGAACTCAAGTTTTACTATATAGTCTGCAGTCAATCAGGAAGTAAGGGGAGGGAATGGGGGTGGGGAAATTGAATCATGTTTTGCTAAGGGGGGAATGGGAACAGGGATGGCTCTGTGGTGTCAGAGCTGGGAATGGGGACACTGAGGAAGGAAACTGGAATCATGCTTGCTGGAAGTTCACCCCAATAAACATCGAATTGTTTGCGCCTTTGGACTTCGGGTATTGTTGCTCTCTGTTCATGCGAGAAGGACCAGGGAAGTGAGATGGTGAAGGAATAAGCCCCCTAACAGACAGTCCCATCTATTTTTTCACGATTTTGTTCACAAACTGTCATCAGATTAGGCCAGTTCTTCATATAGTGCTCAAAACAGTCCACTACTGAGTTCCATTGCACGTCTTGTGGGAGAGTTAGCTTGGTTCCTCCCACTTTTTTCAGAGCAGCTGCTGCAAAGTGGTTGTTACAGAAGTATTTTGCAATTTCAACAACATTAGCCTTTATTTCTGGAACGCTGAAGTCTTTGGCTAGGAGGTGCATCAAATGAGCACTGCAACTGTATTTTGTTAGCTTGGGACTCTAAATTTCTTCTCATCTTGGATACATTTGAAGCATTGTCTGTGACCAAGCTGCATACTAGACATTTGCATTTTTTTTCAGTTTGTTATAGCTTTTACTGCTACTTCTTGTAAGTATTGTGCTGTGTGCGCATTTCCTGATGTATCAATTGTTTCTGTAAGGAAGACATTCCCTTCTTCTGTTGTCACACAAGCACATACAACAGGATCATTGTGGACATTGCTCCACCCATCCATCAAGACTCAGGTTAACAATTTTACCCTCTAGACCGTTTGCACACTGCTCAATTTCTCTTTCATACACTTTATCCAGCAATTTGCCTGCGACATCTGCTCTGTTGGGTGGACTGTATCCTGGTTTTAATGACCGAACCATGTTAATGAAGTGTGGGTTCTCAATCATACGGAAAGGAGAGTTTGTTACATAAACAAACCGGGCAATTTTTTCATCAATTACCTCTTTTTGTAATCTGCTAGTTCTTATCACAAATTCATCTATGGTTGTTTCTGGATGATGTTTTTTTTTTCCTTTTTGCTACAGGTATTATACTGTGGCTATGTGACAGTTTGAGAACTGCAAAACTAAGCAGCTCTGATCATAGAATCATAGAATATCAGGGTTGGAAGGGACCTCAGGAGGTCATCTAGTCCAACCCCCTGCTCAAAGCAGGACCAATCCCCAAATAAATCATCCCAGCCAGGGCTTTGTCAAGCCTGACCTTAAAAACCTCTAAGGATCGAGATTCCACCACCTCCCTAGGTAACCCATTCCAGTGCTTCACCACCCTCCTAGTGAAAAGTTTTTCCTAATATCCAACGTAAACCTCCACCACTACAACTTGAGACCATTACTCCTTGTTCTGTCATCTGGTACCACTGAGAACAGTCTAGATCCATCCTTTTTGGAACCCCCTTTCAGGTAGTTGAAAGCAGCTATCAAATCCCCCCTCATTCTTCTCTTCTGCAGAGTAAACAATCCCAGTTCCCTCAGCCTCTCCTCATAAGTCATGTGCTCCAGCCCCCTAATCATTTTTGTTGCCCTCCGCTGGACTTTTTCCAATTTTTCCACATCTTTCTTGTAGTGTGGGGCCCAAAACTGGACACAGTACTCCAGGTGAGGCCTCACCAATGTCGAATAGAGGGGAATGATCACGTCCCTCGATCTCCTGGCAAAACTTATACAGCCCAAAATGCCGTTAGCCTTCTTGGCAACAAGGGCATACTGTTGACTCATATCCAGCTTCTCGTCCACTGTAACCCCTGGGTCCTTTTCTGCAGAACTGCTACCTAGCCACTCGGTCCCTAGTCTGTAGCAGTGCATGGGATTCTTCCGTCCTAAGTGTAGGACTCTGCACTTGTCCTTGTTGAACCTCATTAGATTTCTTTTGGCCCAATCCTCTAATTTGTCTAGGTCCCTTTGTATCCTATCCCTACCCTCCAGCGTATCTACCGCTCCTCCCAGTTTAGTGTCATCTGCAAACTTGCTGAGAGTGTAGTCCACGCCATCCTCCAGATCATTAATTAAGATATTGAACAAAACCGGCCCCAGGACTGACCCTTGGGGCACTCCTCTTGATACCAGCTGCCAACTAGACATGGAGCCATTGATCACTACCCGTTGAGCCTGACGAACTAG